ATGGATTGGATGTGACTGAGATGGATTGGATGTGACTGCAATGGATTAGATGTGACTGACATGGATTGGATGTGACTGATGTACTTACTGAATCAAATAGCTTCCCAAATCTCCCCGTTGTGATAAACAAAGTCCTTGGCTGTCTACTCCAAACCATGTGTGTCCTTTAGCAAGATTTAATTGCCGACACCGACACAGTAGACTGTTTAGAAAGGAATAATAATAATTATGTCTGAGGATATATGTGCAATATTGCGTGACAAACCCAAGATACAAAACGCGATAATCCGTGTCGATGCAACTGTAACACACTCTTATCGCGTGACAATTCACGAGAACTTATTTTGACATTGTTATTCAGTATTAGAAGTAATCAAGACTCACTCGTGCTCGTAAGCATTAACGTTGTCCCAGTCAACAATATTCTTGTTCCTGTCATCAATAGCTATCGAGAGGTTAACATGCACACCAGTACTACACCCGATCTTTTTCCACAGCTTTGGGCAGGTCTTGTACGTAATCTCAGCTGAAAATGACAGAAAATAATATAAACACAAATAATTTCTTTACGTAGTTTTTCCAATTTCAGACCACGTTCATTCTCTTCAAAATAAGATTCTTTGTTTGAGCAGGGGCGTTGCATTATGTTTTACGTTTTCTTGTTATAAGGAAAAACAAATTTAAATTACTGTGTACATCCTAAAAAGCCGCCATGTTGTTGCCACGAAAGGGGAAGTGGGAGGGGAGGGGGGGTGGTCCCCTTGGGTCCCCTCTGCATACGGCCTTGTTGAGTTATATCCATATTCACGTGTTTTTTACGTGTTGCTAATGTTTATCAGAAAAAAAGGGGGGGGGGGGGAATCCACAATTTTTGGAAGAAGCTACAAGCCTTGCTTAGGAGGGATCGTTGTTTTTTGCATGACTTTAAGGGGGGTGTTAAGAATTATTTTGGACATTTCAAATTTTCACCTGCCCTTCCCCCTTTTTGCCATACATTATGAACGCAGCCTAAGGTTTGTTTGCTATGTAGTTTGAACACATTTACAAGGGACTAAACTGTGAAACAATTGGGGGAAATTAGAGGTTTGAAAGTTGGAATTCTTGGGAAGGAAGACATGTTGGTGAAAAGTACTTACAAGGTAATAAACAAGATGACAATTGTATGGCACCCAACAACAGAATCGTCAAGAAAAACACTAGGAAAAAAAGGTTTAGAACATGTTAAAGAAAGGCACGGATTGCATAATGGAGGATTGGAAGAAATCGCAAAAATGTGGGCAAGTTAATATATATATATTTGTTTTTTTTGTTTAATATATATAGCAAATTTATCTGTAAATGTAAATTCAACCTACCAATAAAGAAATGAAAAACAAAACAACTGTTTTTTGATAAATTACTGACACAATAAAGTCAATGTTTTAATGTTTTTGAGCTTCTCATGACCAACGTAGCTTTTGAGTACCATGACAACGCCACGTTGCCATAGAGAATAATAAAGGTCAGATTGCGCTTAATTTTCCCTTGAGCGGAAATTCGATTTTTAAGGGCTATTATATTGTTTTTTCAAAAACATTTTAAAAGAAAATGATTTAAAATGTATAGCTTAGAAGAATCGAAATTGATACTAAGAGATGTGTGATCGTGCCAAGGAGCATGAAATGCACTCCTTGGATATTAAGAGGATGGAAGGTAAGATGAAAACGAAAAAATGAATGCATACCGAGAAAACTGTGTTCAAGTATTTTCTCGTCCATTTAGTCTAAAGTTGAAAAGAAATGGGGAAAAGGGAGACGAAAACTTTTTTGAAAAGCCCTTTTTTTAAATTACACTGGTATAAAAAATTCAAAGTAACCTACTTTTCTACTTAGTTAGCTATAGTTTATTTGAAAATATCTATTTACACTCGCAAATGGATAAAAACATCCCTAGATTTCATTCTAAAACTAATTTGTAGCTTTGGAATTGGAAAACTTAATCGACTTTAACATCAGTAATGGAATCTAGACGTTTTACTAGATTCTCCAAAATTGGAAAATAAATAGTCTTAAATGTAAAACATGTGACCTTGGTAAAAAATTTTTAAAGAGCTGAAAAACTATAATACGAACTAATCTTTAAGTTTAAACTTATAGGATGTATAATGAGTTAAAAATTAGAAAATGTTCCAGAGGTGGACTCGTTAATTTTGTTCCTCAAAAATATGCACCAAAACAGAGCAAATAAAATAAAGTTTTTGAATAACTTCTTGTGAAAGAAAGATAGAAATGTCATTTTCTTCTAAAAAGTTAAAAATGATTCTCTAGAAATACTTACTTTTGCGAGGTCGCCAAATTAACGATTCCAAACTTGTCCTCAATATACTTCGCTCCTTTACTAACAAACAACTCAGCTTCCTCGATAAGAGGAAATCTTTTTTCCTAAGGATTCTAGCTCTATCTTACGTTACCTTGCAACGACAAGCACGTTGCAATGTTACCATGGTGACACGGAGCACGTTGCTATGCGTTGAAAGAATGTAGTAATCATTTTTAGTAGAGTTGGTTTTCTGCTATTGATGGCCCATTGATGATGTTAAAATACTTTCTAATGACTCTTTAATGAGCTTATTGATTATATATCTGATTATATTATTTTCAAATTTGACTTCAAAAAAAAAAAAAAAAACAATTCCCCTTACCCTTCTGAGATTTTGTTTCAGTATTTGTTTTGAATTTATTATATTAAGCTATGAGATTTTTTTGTCTAGTTTATTTTTGTTGTCCAATATTACAAGTTTATTCTTATTTCAAGTGAGCTTCTAGATCCCAGTAAGATAAAGGATTTTTTCTAGGGGGGTGCACCATCCAGGAATTTCGTTTTAGGAGGGGGTACATCTTTTGCTTACAAACTCAMACACCAATAATGCAGTAGATATCAGCACATCTGGGGGGAAGGGGGGTGCGCTCCCCCTACACCCCTCCCCTAAATCCGATCCTGGATCTCCTTTTTGTTAAGGATAATCCCACGATGTTCCCAAACTTTTTCTCCTTGTTTCTTCCTCATCAAAACAGTGAACAGCCTGGATGTTAGAATAACAGTGCGTATATCATGACTATATAGAGAGTACAGGATAGGGTTAAGACTAGATGATAAGACCATTAGACCAAACGTTATCAGATCCCACGCAAGAGAACGTGGATACTTTAGAAAACTCCTGCCCAGAAAAACAGACCTTGGAATCCAACAGCCGACAAAACACAATGTCACCGCTAAACAAGAGCGAAACGCTTTATTTATTCTGGATTTACCGGTTTTTCTGGTTTTGCCAGTTTTTCTGGTTTTACCGGTTAGTCCTGCTATTTGGATGTCAGTAACTTGGGTTTGACGATTGCAGGCTTCACGGTAAATGCGACAATAGGCAAATAGTACCGTTAATATTACGATTATCATGCAAGAAATTAAGAACGTCGAGAACTTCGAGTCACTAGAAGATGCAGTTATTCCTGGGGTGAGATACCAAACAAGCCGCACCAAGTGTATTATGGGTAATGCCCAAATAAGGACATAAGCAAATTTGATGGTCTTGGAATTGACTTTAGAAGCATATGTCAGTGGATGAATAATAGCTTGATATCTATCGTAAGTGAGCCCACAGATACTTAGAAAAGCGGTACTTAGAAGGTAATCTGCCAACACGACCATGAAACGGATTTCTATTGGTGGAGGAGAAGAAAGATAGCACGTGATCTTCCAAGGTATGACGAGCCCACCAATCAGAAGGTCCGCTAAAGCAAGACACATGAAAAATGAATTTCCCACGCTTCGAAGATGCTTGTGTTGGAAAAACAATGCAAAAACACCAAGATTGAAGAAGATGCTGAAGACACTCGCCAGGACATACCACGTGATGAAGAACCAAGATGTCCATTTTGGTACATGTTCTGACAAAATGGAAACGTTTATGGCGCTGCACTGAATATCATCCAAAGACCACGACGCATTCTTCATTGGCATTTGCGGAAGAAATTCGAAATTGTTCTCTAGTTTCGTTCCAAAATTTAGTCAATGGAAAAAGAGAATTCCAAAATTTTTAAGCTGGCAGAATGTTGCGTCTAGTGTTAGTTATAACGCTTCCACTGACGTGTTGATATCCTTTGCCGAAAAACTACACCAATTTTTAAAACATTTCCAACAGAATTTGAATTATTCTCGACCAGTGTCTCTTACAATTGCTAAAGAAATGAGTACTGACAACGTACTGAAGCTAGCCCTAGCTATATCTGGACTAACATGCTAAATCGGAGTACGATTTATTGGTTTTACGTAGCGAGATTATCTAATAGCCGGGCAAAAAGCTCGTCCTTTCATTTCAAATGAATAGAGGCAAATGTCAGAACTGATTGGTATTTGGTTCCTGTAATTAAAAACCTTAAATAGAGAAAAGGAAATGAAGTTTTAGACCTTGTCAACTACTCATCAAGAAGACCTTGATGGCTCTTGATGAATCGTTTTCGCGCGATGATTGTCATTCAAAACCTTACATAGAGAATCACAGCTTTCTAAGACTTGTAGGATGTCAAGTCTATCAAGCTATAATTTTCTACAGATATTTTATGTCTAAGAAGAAATGAAGGGAAATGAATTGAGAGAGAATTAAGTTTCACTCTGTTTCGCTATGCGTTTTCTTCCTCAGTGACCAAACAAAGCAGAAACAATAAAAATATAAATTCTACAAATCTACATAAAATGAAACGATCCCAGGTTAAATTGAAAATCTTAATTTGCCAGTTTGCTGTAATAATTGATAATGCAATAGGCCTTTTGCAATAGATTGACACGTTATTGTTACTGGATCGATGGCAAAAATATTTGACTTCCTTTATTTAAAGATTTTTTTGCTGCATTACTGATGTCGTATCCAAAACCTTTTCAAAAATACTTTTTCTCCCTTGTAAAATACTTTGGATTTCAAGATACGAAGCAATTTAAATTTGGTTTGCCATCCAGCAAATCCTTCCCCAAGGGACCTTCGGCTGAATTGATATATTCGTTATTTAAGTTACATATCAGTGACTGTTTGTTGCAAATAGCCCATTGACGTCATCTGTGAAATGAACTGATTGCGGAACAGACCATTTGAACAGCAGTTCATTTGAGATAATTCCTTTAATACGTAGTAGTCACAATCAAAAATGTTTAGTGAAAATTAATGATTTCCAGGTGCTAAAACTGTCCATCGTCTAACAATTATCTATCATATGACGCATGCGTTCCAACATATAATTTACGGTGTAGTTTTCTCCAAGACTCGAAGAAAAAAGATGAGGAAGAGAGAGAAACAATAGCAAGATTGAAGGAAAGAAAGAAGAACAAAAATAGAAATACAGAAAAAAGAAATTAAAAACTTAACACGTGTAGGATATCAGAAACTAGTTGCCACAGCAACGCCATGAGCCCACAGTCGTCCACGTGTTAGAGCCAGCGGCCATCAAATGAATTCCAGCCCCTGAAGCTGAAAATGAGGAAAGTACAAGATTTTATTGCCATGGCAACGAAATGCGAGAAAGCAATCCATCCATTCATCCATCCATCCATCCATACATACATACATACATACAGAGATATCTGAGATAAATAGCTGCCAACCTACCTCCCCATTTCATTCCATTGGCTGAGGTGATGGACAAAAATGCCGGAGGACTGCTACTCGTAACGTTATCAGGGATACCGCTGGCCATAGTCAGCGCATACTTTTGTCTCATTTTGTTGTAAAGCTCACTCGACACAACAACCCACGTGTCGCCTTGATCATTGCTTCTGTAGTAGTTCATGCTTCGATCTAACCCGTAAAGATGGCCAAGTGTTGGGTTGTACGCCACAATACTGATGATAAAAGATTCGATTCCTGCAACCATTCCGACAAATTACGAAAAGAAGAAGAAAAGAAAAGATTAAAGGAAAAGAAAACAAAGAAAGAAAGATGAATCCCGCCGAATTCACAGGAATTCCATCTAGTATATATAACCTATTAATAATAATAGCTATTAATCTCAACGCCTCTTACCGTAGGATTATTTATATATACATTACAAATGCATCTCTATTATTGACTAAACCATTTTATTTCCAATATGGAACAAAACTCAATATCAATGATACAATGATATTGTAGAATTGAGTGCGAAATTTAACAGATAAATAAGCGAAGAGGACCTTGAAGAGAAGCGATTCAAGAGTCAAGAAAAATACGTTTTCTAACCAATCAATCACAAATCATTTTTTATTGTAGTTAACATATTGAAAAAAATATTTCAAGCAACGCTGTTTGTACATACCATTCCATTCCTTGCCGTCCCTTGTCGATAAGCAGCTACTTTCAAATCTATGAAGAGAAAAAGAAAAAATGGACCTTAATGAAACAAAAGAAGACATTTGTGCACAATCGAGGCAAAGACTGAGCAAATGCGAACTCAAAATTAGAGTATTTTACAACTGTAGCCTTGGAATGGGAAATAGGTAAGATTTAATTCTCTATATTTTATTTCTTGGACTTGGACTAAAGTCAAACGTCGAATTTTTCACATCAGCCGAACCTAATGACATCAAAGAAGACCGCCTTGTTATCCATTGTTTTGATGAGGTTCGGCTCATGTGAAGTTCCACGTTTAACCTGAGCCTTACAAGTTTGGCTTTACAATTGATGGGTTGCAAGCATTCCCAAGAGAGTTAAAAGACAACAACATTGCGGCCATTATGGTACCGTTAACAATGGATGCTAATGAGAAATCTTTTGTTAAATGGTACCAACATGGCCGCGATGACGTAACGTGCAAACGAAGAATAGGATGCCGCTTTTGGGTCTAAAAATCCTTGAACTCATCGTTCTACGCCACAGTGATTACCTGTTGGCCGTGTACATGCATACAAACAGTAGGTTAGAAGACGGGTCGAGAATGAACGAGCGCCGGGAATACTCTGGAAGACCTAATAAACAAAGAAAAGAGAATTTTTAATTGACTGAGAAATGAGTGGGAAACTGGGTGCTAGCCTGCCGCTTGGAGACTGGGCAAAGCATTTGGGTAGACAGGACTGGGTTTATAGAGCATGTCAAATAATGTTACGCAATAATAGAGCAAAAACATCAAAGTTCCATATCTATTTAAGTAGACAACAACAAAAAACAAAAAAAGAAACAAAGAAAGAAAGAAAAGAGGAAAGAAAGAAAGAAAGA